TCAGAAGTAAGTACCATTGATTTCAATGGCACTTACTTCCAAGAATGCAACCTAAGGTCAATTCAGGGTGGGAAAGAAACGGCCTCTGATTCCAAAGTTGCCGTTATTCCATTTCTTCCGTGTACGGGGTGTGCGAGGCGAGGTAGTGAGCCCACCTCCGCACCAAGCCTTCTGCAAAACGCCAAGATACCAATGAAATCGGCAGCAGCCGCATCCAGAATAAGGTTAAGAATCCGGCTCAGGAGCGCGCACTGAAGTCTCATAGAAACAAATTGGGGCATGATTCCAGCATGGTAGTTTCCAGAGTGTTGCTAGCAGGGGTGCCAACTTGAATAAAATATGGGGGGGCATGTAAGCCCCGCCCAGCACAATAGATCACATGACATGGTGCACACACACCATTTGAATGGCAATGCCCATAGGTTTTTGTTGGGAGGGGGGCAGGACTTTTGTGGGGGGGCAGATTGGTCAGTTAGTTAAATATTTCTACTGTTTTACTTGATGGAGGGGCAGCTGCCCCTTGTCCCCTCTTGGCTACGCCCATGGCAATGCCCCTCAACTTCGTGGGGGTCCAGTCCCCTCAAGTATTTTATTGCGGAGCGGAAGCCTCCACGGCCCCTAGGAGTTGGCTCCTATGGTTGCTAGACCAGGCAGCCTTGAGTTCGAACCGGACCTAAGCCCTGAATCTTTGCACGATCGAAGACCAATCGACATCTTTCGGTCTAAACGGGAAAAAATGGGGAAGACTATGCACGCCCCCCACCCCGAGTTTCCTTGAAAAGGGCGAGTTAAAATTACAAAAAATAGATAAATCCGTTAGAAGTGGATTTTTTCTTTTGGGGGGACAGAGGGGGTGTTTACTGGCTATAGAGAAAATAATTTTAAAGACCCATGCATGGAGGGGGTGGCGGGATGGATGCACCAATGGGACTAATTTCGGAAGTCTCATGAGTTTCAGATTTGAAACTGACGCGCAAGACTATCTGGAACAGGGCCCATATACTTAGACCTGGGTGGGCAATACGTGAGCTGCTTACGGAACGGTGCAGGAGGGAACGAATCCTGCACAACTGGATCCCTCCAATTTTCACGCCACCAAGAACTTCCAGAACTCCCAAGTGTCAGCCTAAGGAGATTATCATGGAAGGAAAGAAGCAACGCTCAAAGAGCGACTGTTTATTAGGTAGCCGCCTAAGTCGCAAGCAGCTATCCACTTCCCTGTGAATAAGCCCCATTGACCTCAATGGGACTTACTTCTAAATAAACGTGCGTGGGATTGCTCTGTAAAGCTGAAAGGTATGCACGGAGGGCCAAGCCACTGCTGGATTCAGCATAGATCCCTAAATCTACACTAGGATGAGCAGTCCTTGGATCCGAGTCTCTCCCTGGATAATGATAATGATGATGATTCAGTGGGGTTTACTTCCAAGTAACAGGGTATAGGATTTCAACCTCAGTATTCACCAGGTTCGTAATTCTCAAAGGGGCATTAATTTTATTCCACTGCCAGCATTTTGCCTTAGGGTCTACGATTGGGAAAGCAGGTCGTTTGGTGCGCCGGAAAACCAAAGTTGATTCCTTTCTGCTGCTCTCACGAAACGCCTAAACAAACAAACAACAGCCCCCTCGAGGTTTCTGTTTTGTTTTGCCTTCCTCCCTCTCGCAACAATAGCGCGCCTTTCCACTGAGCTCCTATGGATTTCAAGAGAACTTCCCCCCACAGGGGTGCTGGCTGGGCCCCGGCTTCCTAATAGAACAGTGTAAATACTCCAAGATTGCATCTGGATCCCCCTCCCCTCCCTCTCTTCCCTGTTTCCATTTAAGGAAAGGAAGGCAACGCGGGTAACCATCTTCCCTCTTTCCATGCGCGATTATGACTCTACCTCATCACAAAGGAGTCTGTCTGCGATCCGTTGGTTGTTTTTTTTTTTTAATGTTTCAGGAAGCTGGGATCTTGTCCCAGCTTAAGTCCATGTTAAAAAATGTTTAAAACCCGAACACCTCTAACGCCCCAAGGAGTTCTTCCAAGAATTGCCCCAGAAGTCAATGCTTCACATCTTTAAACGAAAGTACGCCTGGGTTGAACTCGGCGGTCCTCTGATTCGCACGTGAGTGTTGCAATCCCAGCATAGGAGCCTAGAGGCCGAGGTCCCTTCGTCCTTCCCCCATAAAATGTTTGAGGGGGCTACGCCCCCCCCCAAGTTTATGGTCATTGCCATTCAAATGGTTGCTTGCGCCGTGTCTTGTGATCGATTATGCGGGGTGGGGCTTACTTGCCCCCCAATATTTTATTCGGGTTGGCCCCCCTGTATCCCGTTATCACAACCGTCTAAGTTCAGCTCGTCTAAATGCGTGTTCTGTAACGGGCAAAAAAGCAAAAAAGCAAAAAGCGAAGAGGGTGGAAAATTGTAGGTGTAACTTCAACGTGGTCCGTTGAAAACGCCGGGAAATGGAGCTGCGTTGGAGGTGGGAGATTAGCCCGTGGGGCCTTTGAGACACATCTGAGGCACGGCGGTGCTTAAAGGAATGTCCAAATCGGCAGAAGAGTGTAAAACCTCAGAGGTTAAGAACATAAGCTCTTTGCCCCTTGACAACAAAAGCATCAACGTCTCCCACTCCCTCCCTCCCTCCCCTCTTTCCTGCAAACACCAAAAAAGACCCCAGAGGCTCGGATCCTTCTTAGCTCTTCGGTGTTTAGCCTCTTGACGTAAGTGGGACGGGCAGCAGGATTCAAAACTTTGGCTAAAGGAGACCTTTAGAGCGATTCGAGTTGCACTGAAGTCAACTGCGCCTTGCCGAGCTTGAAATCAGTTCATTCGGTCTAAAATGGTTGATGGGTAATAGATTCACATAATCATTAGCTTAAAATGTTCCACGGCACGGGACGGCCGATCTGACTGGCTCACTCTCCGTATATATGCGCCTGACTTCTGTCCCATATGTGTGTGTGTGTGTGTGTGTGTGTGTGTGTGTGAGAGAGAGAGAGAGAGAGAGAGAGAGAGAGAGAGAGTCGTTCAACCTATAAGAGTAAGAGCGCCTCTTTCGAAAGTGTCATTCCCATTTCCCCAAATAATGCTTAAGTTTGCCATCCTCGAATTTACCTGGGAACAAGCCCCATTGAACTCCGGTAGGACTTTCTTTTGAGTAGATTGGTATTTATTTTTTTTAAGCCTTTGCTTTGAATGGGATGAAAAGCATCCAATGGGTTAGGTGAGGGCGCTTTTAGAAGGGATGCTTCAGAAAGCTTTTAATACGCACCGGGAAATATTCTTTAAGTAGGGCTGGAAAAGATTAGGAGGACCATTTGGAAAATGAGTTCCGGTATCAGCCAACGTTTGCTAGTCTGATTCTGTTTCCGAAAAGTGCTGCTTGCGGAACAATCCTATGTATGTCCGCTCAGAAATAAATTCTGTGGAATTCAACGAGGAGGCCTGAATTCCACAGGTAAATGTGTTTAGGGCTGTCGCATCATCTTATAAACTTCCACTCGGAGGCTCGCCAAAGTCCTAACCTGAGCATCTTTGGGGAACGTTGAGAGACATATTTGTACTAGTATTCCTTGGTCAGGGCTGCCAGGTAAAGGTGGGCCCATCTCAGTGAACTTGGTGAAATTTTATACTGTTTTCAGGAGCGGAAGAGGTAGCAAGAATCATGGCTGAGCCTTCTGAAAACATTTTAAATAATCATAATAATATTCACCAATCCCAGTTTTCAGTATAAACTCTGAAATGGCCAGCATATATTTTCAATTCTAAAAAAGCTGTGTTTTTTTTTGTTTTTTACAACTTTATTTCTCATTAAAACATTCAAAACATTATCTCGGATTGTAGTTTACAGGTACACTCAGTGCATTATATGTACATAAGTTGTTGTTTTTGTAAAGCGTCCTCGCAACGTGTTTATTTTTGTTCCCGATACTAGACTTGAATGTGATGTTTTAGTGCGAGAATCTTTTGTAAGCCGCTTTGAGGTATTTGTAATAAATAATCACACCAGTTACATCATTGGCCAATGTGCATGTCAATTCCAGGGGAGCCTGCCAGGATTGGCCAGTGTTCCCCACCTCTTGTGTACCTGGTGACAAATATCTGCTTCCGACTTTATCAGTCGCACCTGTGACACAAGAGACACGTCCCTGTCTTGAGTCTTAAATCCGTTTTACCTTAAATTGTTCTGTAAACCAAACGTAAGCCCCCACTTACGGTTTTTAAAACGGCTCTATGCTTCCTTAGCCTACGTTAACACAATTCACACTAGTGAGGCAAAAATAGATTTGAGTGGAAGAACAACCAAATGCACTTTTGTGTCAGGTGTGAAAGCTCCCTTAAAAAGCCCGGGGCTTTCTAAAACCTAGCGAGGACGTTCGCACATGCGCCTGGAAAGGTGCTTGCAGGGTCACGTGGAAGCGCTCTTCCAGGAGTTTGCATCCCCTCCCCACCACACTTCAGGATGGCGATTTAAACTTAGAGCTCTCTTTTCGCTGTGAGTGCTTAAACATCCGCGAGCGATTAAAATCTGCTCTGAGAGCCTCTTACTGAACACCAGTTGACTTGTTAGATGTGCCCACCCCCCAAATATTAGGTGCATTTCTGCCGCCTTCCCTTTGGATCTCCATATATTCTGTTTCGCGGTCTCTACTTGGAAATTTATTGACTGATTTCCGGGAAGCGGCTCGTACCTTTCCTTTGTGGTTCATCCCTCGATCTGCATCCACATTTCTTTAGAGGAAACGCTGAGAAAGCGTGACCGAGTCGGCGCCCCGCTCCCTCACTTTCCCCCGAAACAGCGCGCTCAGTCTAGGGCAGGCGTGCGCGCCACTTTTGGCCCCTCCAGGAGTTGCGGAACTACAACTCCCATCATCCATGGGTATTAGCCAGTTTTGCAGGGGCTGATGGGAGCTGTAGTTCAGTAACATCTGGCAGACCAAAACTTCCACCCGCCTGCTCTAGGGAATATTGCGAGGTGCCTGTTATTGGATATGTCCTCTCTCCTCTTTTCAGGTAACGCGGAGGAAGGAGCGACGGTGTTGATGAGCAAAAAGACTGATGATGACGCCCAAAGCGGAGGGACGTCAGGAAAAACGGAACGAAAGAAATGTCTTTAGCAGAAGGCAGGGGGGGAAATTATTCCGAAGAGCGGGAAAGGCAAAAAGCAACAAACACAACGGACACAGATCTCTCCTGTTAGGAGTAGCATGGAAGACTCTTGAGAGCGAATATAAAAGAAAACATACAAACAGACAAGTGTTTTCCCTCTTCTTTCGGGCGGAGTTTTTGTTTCTTTCTCTTTTAGCTTCCTTAAGTGTTCAAATGAAAGTCTTAAAGGGGACTGATTCCCAGTTTGTTTCTTTATTGTATTTCTATCCCACCTTTTCTCCCGGGAGCTCAAGGTGGCCTGCGCGGTTCTCCACCTCTTCATTTAATCCTCACAACAATCCTGTGGTGTAGGGCGGGCTGAGAGCACGTGACTGGCCCAAGGCATGGGCCTAGCCAGGGAGGTGCGGAGGCAGCTGCCCCACTAAACCAAGTAAATAAATGAAAATACTTAACCAACTGCACAATTGTGTCGCAGATAACTCGGTTCTGCTCCCCACAACATAAAGCCTGCTCCCCCATAAATCCTGGCTATGCCCAAGGTCTCCCAGAGAGCCAGTGTGGTGTAGTGGTTAAGAGCGGTAGTCTCGTAATCTGGGGAACCGGGTTCGCGTCTCCGCTCCTCCACATGCAGCTGCTGGGTGACCTTGGGCCAGTCACACTTCTCTGAAGTCTCTCAGCCTCCCTCACCTCACAGAGTGTTTGTTGTGGGGGAGGAAGGGAAAGGAGAATGTTAGCCGCTTTGAGACTCCTTAAAAGGGAGTGAAAAGCGGGATATCAAATCCAAACTCCTCCTCCTCCTTTATGGCTAAGTGAGGGATTGGAACCCTGGTCTCCCAGGTCCTAACCCAATACAGTACTCTCCAGTATTTCCCAAACTTGGGTTATTGGACTACAATTTCCACCATCCCTGACACTGGTCTTGCTAACTAGGAATGATGGGAGTTGTAGTTCAAAAACAGCTGGAGACCCAAGTTTGGGAAACACTGCAACTACCACAGTACACTGACTCTTTGTCCTCTCCCACCATTGCCAAATGAGTAAAAGGCAAAAAAGGACGGCTGGAAAGCGAGCTAAAGTCATAAAACAAAGCGAAGGACCCAGAGGCAGGCCTATTATTTTATCCTGACCTGCGTTTGTCTTTCAGCCCAGGACCAGCATGCAAGGTCTCCCCACCTCTCCCGTTTTAATCTTGGAACCGCTTTGTAAGGTTAGACAACGAGGGATGCAATTAAGCGGCTTTTAGACTCCGTACTTGGGGAGGCCCCCACTTGAGATGGTTAAGATGTATTACTTCGAAGTAGGCTGTATTCACCCTTTCTGAGAAGCGAGGCCCTGGACATCTGCCCCCAAAGCCCTGTCCCTGTCCAGATCGTGCCTGGTGCACGAGTCCCTCCAGGAATTTGAAACCTGGTCTTCTTCCGCAAGGTCTGCCTGTCTATACCTATCAGGAGCCCACGATCAGGCCACACTAGGTAGACACACGCTCCAGGAGAATCCGTAGGTCTCAGTGATTTCAGACCCAGTGGCTGAGTGCTCCACTCACGCTCCAGAGCCCCTTGCCCCTTCGTCATCAGTTCGGACTTGCTTCAGGATGCTACTTTAGGGGGGCTCAGCTCCGGCGGGGAGGCTCTCAAAGGGCGATGTGAGTGGTGTTTCCTCAGGACTCTCCATACTGGTCTTATAAATGCAGGAGGACGCGGTGGGGAAGTCGGAGGTGGAGCTCGAGACTTTACCCCCTTCATTCTGCCGCGGGGGAAATCTCAGGTCAACCGAGCCCCCAGCAGCCTCTTTCCTTATCTCCAGAACGAGGTAGGATTGACCACGACCAATGCTTCTCCCAAAGAAAGAGTAAGGACGCTTGCTATTAACTTTCAGTGTCAGATAACGAGAGAGAACAGACTAAAAGCCCTGTTGCATCGGGCCAGTGGCCCACTTTGTCCAGCATCCCGTTCTCACAGTTGCCAGCTTGGTGCCTATGGGAAACCAGCTAGCCGATCTGAGCGCAGCAGCCCTCTGGCCACTTGGGAATCCCAGCAACTACATCCAGGGGCATACGGTCTTTGACTGCAGAAGTAAAAGATAGTCCCTGTGGCTACGAGCTATTGACAGCCAGAAAAAGAGAGGTGTGGGTTTTGCATTTGCTTCTCAAGGATGCTATTAAGAGATGCGGGCATCATCTCCGCACGTTTCAGGAGTATTCGGAGCACCCCAAAAATGTGTGGCCATTTATAAGTTGATAAATAGTATAAAAAGAAGTCTTTAAAACCGCATTTTCAACTTCAGCAGATCTCCCATTTAGAAAACTCTCTGTCATCCTTTACCCACTAGTGAAATGTGCTCTAGACTCCAATGGCATCGGGACTCTTAGGTTAGAGAGGAGTGGTTTAGGGAGAGGTTGTACGGGCATCTGCCATGCATGATTTAGTTGAGATTCCTGTATTGCAGGGAGTTGGACTAGATGACCCTCGGATTCCCTTCCAACTCTACAATTCTATGATTCCATGATCCCCCTTTCAATGCGATTAATGATTTGGGAACCTGGTGGTGGATTCTCCGAACTGGACACACTTACGAGATGAGGAAAGCAAATCCTGCAGATCTTCGCAGGCAGCCGTTTTGTCCTCTTCTGTTTTCTCTGTTGACCTCACTTTTAAAAATTCCTTTACCTCCCGCTAGGTGTGTGATGGTAAAGTGAAACTGTATTCCCGCAATTCCGTCCCCCCTTTCTCTGGCATCTTAATGCCAAGTGAGGGTCTCATTTAGGCAACGCGTGTCCGTTTCAAATTCTAAGGCTGCAATACAGCATACATGCTTTACCCTTGGGGGGGAGGGGAATGGGACTAACTCCTAAGACTTACGTGGACTCTAACATGTCTAGGATTATATTGTGAGGTTGCAATCCTGTGCACGCTGTCCTGGGAGTAGGCCCCACTGAATCAAGGGGGACTTCTTTTTAGCCAAACTCGCTAAGCATTTGGTTAGGGACTATTTACATTTTGCACAGGGCACACCACCTAATTAGTTAAAGGCAAGGAAACAGACAGTCAGGTCGTGTATCCATAGCAATGACCAGAGGATAAATGTTTGCTGTGAGAAGCGCAGAGATAAGTAACGCCATGTTGCATCTGCAACAGCACAACTGGACGCCTTCATCTGCCCCAGCTGCAACAAAACATGTCTCTCCCTTATCAAACTCTACAGCCACAGCAGGCGCTGCAACCTCCAACAGTTTGACTTCACCCCCAAAGGCGCACTCCTCCATTGTTTCCCCAGACAGACGGATACCAACAAAAGGGAAACCCAATTTCCTAAGCAGATCATTCCAAAGCTGGACCCAGGGATTAGACTGTGAGATGAAGTGTAATTTTTGCTCACATGGAAAGAACTCTAGATTAACAGGTTCTAGATATGGCACTGGGAGTACTGGTAGCCGAGGATGGTTGTTTTTGTCTGGTATCTCAAGCATGTTAAAAAAAACACCACCACCAATGTTTGAATGGAACACATGCTTTATAGGATGCTTTATACATGCTTTATCTAACTGAGGCGGAGAGACAAAGAGCCATGCTTGCCCTTTGTTCTCAGCAGGAGACATACACAAAGCTGTCTCCTCTCCCAAGGTGGGGATGAAGAGAAGAAGACAAAGTAGGACATGAGGCCAGCAACCACAAGAGTATCGGGAAGGAAGATCAATAGGTCGTCACAAGGAGGAGAGTCTCTAAAGATTGGAGGTTCCTCTCTACCTATCCTTCGCATGCAGCCAGGTCAGCCTACAGTGAAACCTGAGTTACATCCTAACACCCAACTAGGAGATTATGAGGACCAGTGGTGGGGGAACCTCAGGGTCAGGGCCAAATGGAGCCCTCCCGGCTTCCCTATTTGGCCTTCGAGTTTTCCTAGGCCACACCTCTTTCCGATCCACAATCCCTTCTGGTGCTTTTGCCTGGCTGGAATGTGACCCTGAGGTGTGAGGAGGCCAAGCAGCTTGCCTGGATGAGATATGTGTGTCTGTATGTGGAAAACAAAGGTGAGAGTCACACCTGTGGCTCCTCTGTACTTCTGACAATGTCCACAAGGGCCACGTTGCCCCGGGACAGTTTGCTCATGAGGAAACGCTGCCCTTGGGGCTGAACCCCCACCCCCACCCCTGGTGTTGAAGACCCCCCGAATGTATCCTCTTTACGCTTCTGAAGTAAACTGAGCATATTTTCAACGGATATGAGATTACAGGTCCCCAATAGAGCTTCGGAAAAAACCAAATTCCATTCAAATCGGGGGAAGCGCTTCTGAGGTATTATGCTTAGTATGGCTTGATTTCAATGGAATGGCCAAAGTCGAACAAAGAATTTGGAAATTTGATACACACTTACTTGGTACCAAGTACCATTGAACTCAACGGGATTTACGTCTCAGTAGACACGAATAGGCTTGTGCTATATGGAACATGAACGATGAACTGGATGGTGGCCATTACGGTTTCTAGTTGGAGAATTAGTAGGTAGAGTTGCTCTGCTCACTTCCTTTACACTTGTGGTGTTTTGTTGACTCCCCCCCCCCCATTAATGGGGCTATTTCTATTTTAAGGTATTTATCTACTGGGCTCCAAACGCCAAAGGAGCCAAGGAAATAAAGAAGCGTCAAAAAATCCCGCTTTGTAAACACAAGGAAAGGGGAGCGGATCAGACAACGCGAGGACTGGAGGCATCTTCTCTGACGGTTCTGTACATATAGGTGTTCTTTCATGAGAGTAGCAGATTTCTGCCCACATTATGTAATCCTGAAAGCACAAAAGTAGAATAATACTTGTCATAGCTGGCAAAATAAATAGGCTTATTTAAAGCGTCTAAAAGAATTCACTGACGCGATCTCATTCCTTCTCCACAGCAACCTGCCAAGCACATCAGGATTGCAGGTGAGGTGCTGACTGAGACAGAGATTCTGGCACCAGTATGGCAGCCCCTGGTGCATGTTACTTCTGAGTAAACTAAGAAGTAAACTAAGTCCCATGGTGGTTGGGGCTTCCTCTCAGACAAATGCGCACAGGATTGCAGCTTTACAGTGCTTGCAGCTCGCAGCGCATGCAAAGGAACCCTGTACACTTACATGCTCAGGCGCTGCGGCTTGAAGTCTTTGCAGGTAGCA